CAAAGATGGAAATATTTTAGTGATTGAAAAAAATAGCAATTGTATAACATGACAAATATTTTCATTTGGATTATCTTGAAAGAAAAGTAGGGTAACTTTCGAAAACAATTGAAGAAGAAATTTTCGTTGTGCTCTTTCAAATGATGTAGCTCCTTCTAACATCTCTAGTACATCTTCCTGTGCGAATCGTTCATGAAATTTCATCAATTATGTTATCACCATTATTTAATCATTTTCCAATAGATTGCTAAAACTTTCAAGAATTACTTTTAATTCGAATTATACCTGACGAATGATACATGCTTAACTACATGATAATTTTATTCAAAATTAAAAACGATTTACAGTTAATATCACGTTGTGGTTTTTATTTCTAATCAATTCCATCCAATTGCTTTGCATCTGTTGACAAAATGCATTTTCAAAAGTTTGTTAACAGTAGCTTCGGTGAATAATCAAATTGAATAATTGGAATTTAATATCAATTAATAAAATACTTCATTCTAAAGTAGAACTTTATAATTTGGAAGTGAGATATCAAGGACACAAAAACAAAAGTTTTATTTTGTATTTGGCATGAGTCATTATGTTAGAGAAAGATTGAAAAAAAAACAATACCTCGTGCAATAACAAGATTTACGATATAGTCGAGAGAACGAAAGAAAATTACTGCTTTTTTTTATTCTTTCTAACGGATAAAAAGCTAAGAGTAGTTTTTTTTTCTTTTTTGTAAAGATAAAAAAAAAACATGAGTTTAGAATTATTGGCAAATGAACTTCTACTTGATTTATTCGATTATCTAAATGCTCACAATCTTCTTCGTGCTTTTCACGGTCTTAATACTCGTTTTGATCAACTTCTCTTCATTCAACTTCAAAAATATTAACTCGATTTTCGTTTCATATCAAAAAATGATTTCGAATATTTCTGTCAACAATATCTCATCTCTATCAACGATCGAGTTATTTCACTTCATCTTTCCGATGATATCGAAACACCAAATTTACCTCAGCTTTTCCTATCTTCTGGTTATCGTATCAATCAATTCATTCATTTGAAATCACTTTCAATAGATTATATCTCTTCTTTTGACTTATTAAATCAAATAATATTGCAATGTCATGAACTTTCATATCTAACACATCTAAACATAATGATACACAACAATCAAGATCCAGAAGAAAACTTTCGTGATTTCATAAACAATATTTGGAGTCTATCAAAACTTACTCATTGTTATTTAGATATTCAATATCCATATGCAACATGGCTTCTTGAAATGTCAATAATTTCTCAATCTGTCAAATATTTATCAACTAAAAATATTTCTTATAGTTCATATAGTCTATTACATTTATTTAAACATACACCATATCTTCAACGACTTTATATAGGTAGTATTGGTCAATGTTATGATCAACACATACAAACTATAGTTCCATCACTTATTTCATTGAGTATGACCGCTCAATTTACATTACAATGGATGAAAAATCTTTTTCAACAAATACCAAATTTATGTTATTTAACACTTGAAATAAATAATATTTATTTAGATGGACAAGAATGGGAGAAGATTCTTAGCAATTATTTTCATAATATTAAAATTTTTCGTCTTAAAATGACAATTGAATTTTCTCCTTTGGAAAATATAGAAGAACAAGTCGATCAATTAATTGATTCATTTCGAAGTTATTATTGGATTGAAAAACATCATTGGTTTGTCCGATGTGATTGGTGTCCAATGGATATAAATCAGACTGGTCTTCTTTATACATTACCTTATGCTTTTGATACATTTTATTATATAGATGGTAGTCAATCGAAATCAACTAATCCGAATAACTTCAATTATTCATTTCGTAATCAATCGAAAATACTTCATTATACTACTAATCATAAAAGAGATTATTCCAAAAATAAGATTCTTTATCCTATTCAATTTTTCAATATTCGTCATCTTAAAATTAAACTTCCATTCAATGATACATTCTTGTCACTTATTCCAAAACTAGATCAATTGATTTCACTTGATGTAACATTAAATAATCGAGACTTAGGTTATTCTCAATTACAAACATTACTTGATCGAGCATCACATCTCTATTCCTTGCGTTTTTGTCATTTGAATAATTTCTCAATGACATCATTCAATATTACAAGTACATCAATTCGTCGACTTGAATTTTTTCAACATTTCGAAGTTCGTTTACGATATTTTAACAGTAAAGAATGTACTATTTTGGCTAATTCATCACTTGCTTTTCAATGTGAAGTTCTTATGATTGATGTTGAAAGTCGAACAAATATTCTTGAACTTATCAATATAATGCCCAGTCTTCGAGCGTTAAGTGTTCGTTGCAAAGATAATGAAAGTAATCAAAATGAAACATTCGAAACAAATGATAATTTAATCGAATGGTTACATCAACATTTACCATCGAAATATACATATTCAATCAATCGAAATGTATATAACATTGCTCGTATTAATGTATGGATTTATAAAGCATCATAAAATATTCTTGAATCGCAAAAAGAAAAGAATCATGAATAATTTTTGTGTTCAAATTTTTATATAATACTCTGAAAAATTTGTCTAAAATAAATAAAAAAAAACCATATATATGTTACATATGAACTAAATGACTGGCAAAAAACGAATTATTTACCAACTTTATTGCTTTTTTTCGAACGGATTCTTTCCTGCTGAATGCATGGAACTTTTTTTATTGCTTTTTATACAATACAATGTTTCTAAAAATTATTTAAAGCGAACTCTTTTTTATTTATTTATTTCTATGTCGTTATCTCATACTTAAAGAATAACGTATTTCTATCAAAATTCAATAGATTCGTTATATATTGTATCTTGTTATGCGGAAAAATAAAAGTGATGTATTGAAATAGTTTCGATCCTGATATGGTAATACATTAGTGGCAATATTTCATTTGCATGTATCACAATTCACAAGATTTGAAATCAACGTTTGTTGCATTCTGTGAGAAATAGAAAAAAAGCAGGAGTGACAAAAACAATTTCATATGATGTTGGATAATACTGATGCTGGATAAGCAGGTGAGACTAGAGAAGATAAATTCTGTAATGAGAACTTTCACTTGAAGACGTTGTTGAGTTTGGTAAAAGTGGTACCTTCATTCGATTGAAAACCGCTTGTCAATGGATCTAGTAAATCATATTAGATTAATGTAGTGAGGGCAACTGAAACGTGAGCGAAATTTCTCGTTTAATGAAAACTTCTGCTTGTACTCTCGGATATAAAACTGTCGAGAACCTAGGACTGAAATTTTGTGATGCAGCAGGACTAGTAAAGAAATTCTTGAGTTACAAATGCACAAAACTATTAAAAAGCTATAGACTAGCGTAGGCTTCAAGTTTAATGAAAACTTATGATTAGCTCTTTAGTCATATTTTTGAAAGTGAATAGACAAAAATCTCGATGAATTTCAGAGATTTTGCGCAAAGAATGATATAGAATTTGCATGTAAACTCCGAATACTATTATCCTTAGGAAAAATACATGAATTTTTTTTCATTTTTATTAATTCAATAAGAGAATGAATGTTGTCTTGGTAAACTGTAATATATGTGCAATCTATCCATAAGAAAATTATTAATATCCATTGCTTTCAGTAAAAAAAAAAATTGGAAAATTCTAATGGCAATTCTTTTGTACTATAACATATCTTCATGTTCAGTCTATCAAACCAATATTTGTTTGTTTATATCAGTATTCAAATAAAATACAATATATCAATTCATTTTATTTATATTTAATTAGTATTATAAGATCAATGCTATGAACATCATTTGATTAATCATCTTGTTTTGGATGTTTTAATATATATTGTTAATTATTTCAATTGACTTGATTCAAAACCATTAGAACTCACATACCACATTCATTCTCAAATGATGTTCAAAGCATTAATCATATCATCATAAGTCAATAGAATAAAATGATGTATTAAATTTTATCTGAATGTTATTATATACAATCAAGTATTATATTAATAGACTGAAAATGAAAATATGAACATTACAGAGTCTAACTTTTCTAGTTTCACCTGTCTGATGACCGCAACTAAAACATATACTATGTCAGAATATCACAGTTTTTCATAGCACAAAAAAAGCAACAAAAATTGATATTTTTTACTTTTGTTGCAATTCTCTCTTTATAATCATTATTAGAATATTATTCATTGAATTCATTTTTAGTTATATTATTCTTTACAAATTTTCATTTTGATATGTAAATGATGATATGTTTCATTTATAAACTATTAAATAAAGCAGTAAGAAATAAAAAATCGAGAAGTATTGCATGCATTGTATTTTTAAGTTCTGTAACTGAACCGACTCGCTTCTCATCGGTTAAGTCAAGAATGCCAACCTGGCGGTTCCGTCTGATTCAAAAAAAAAATTCTATCAGTTCTAAATCAGCTAGCACAGTGTAACAGCAGCTAGTTACAAAGTTTCATTTGCTTCAATGACATCCAGCGTCTTGAATGTATATGTGAGTGTGTGAATGACGCGAAAATCCTCATCCATACGCAGTCAAAACTCATCAAAAGACTCCAAAAACAGCAGCCAATCTGTTATATTTTCATTCAACTACTATATTTCATATCGTATGTAATCATAAATTCGACTACTGTGCAATCTCTTTTTCATTATTATATTCATATACACGATGTTGTCAAGCATTTTCAAAATGCGCATGAATTTCTTTGATTTTTATTGCATATGCACATTTCGCCAAATCAAATGACCTATTGAAGCTTAACTAGTAAATTAAAGATTATTCATAAAGAAAAAAGAATAAATATGAGAATTTTTTGTGGTTTCCACTTACTTAAATAACTATTCTTTAAATTATTCACATTATATGAGAAAAAAATACTGCTTGCAAGCGCAGTATTTGTTTTTAATTGCAGTCGAAACTAATAGTAGATGATGGTGGCAATAGTTTGATCAATTGCATTTTTTTTTGTCTACGTTCTCATTACGTTGCCTACACATTATAGCAACAACAAAACAAACTGCCTCTCCCAGTAAACAATCAAAACAGAAAGAGCAGAATTACAAATAATATATGCATTAATATAGATCAAACGCAGTTACCATCATAGTCTCACAACAAATACATAGCACTTGAGTCGACCAATTTTAGTGTTTATAAATGACCGGTAACGGAAATTTCTTATTTGTAGAGCTAGGGATGCACCAAGTTCAAACATTGGATTTGACTAGATGTGGATTTGGATTTGGGTTCAGCTGAATTTGACTAATAAATTTCTACGAAAAGTAATCAGGATTGAAGTATCCGAATTTGCTATCAGCTTCTCAAAATTGTCCACTGGATTTCTCGGCGAAATTTCCTACCAATAAAAATAAATAAATACATTTGCATCCGTTCAATTAGATTGACTGATTTGTTTTTAGTTGTTGAAGTTCATTCGAACGTTTTTTTTTATACGTATAAAGTAAGCAAATATTAGTGTCAAGTATTATTTTTCACATTATGAAGAAAATTTGATCTAATATCAACTAAAAAAATACATGTGTAGCGTTTTATATATATTCTTCCGTTGTTAAATAGAAGAATAACAAGAAAAAGTCAAAACAAACTTTATCAATGAATCTGTACTGATGTACATAGAGCAAGTTTCCAAAACTAAATAGTTCAAAAGTCAACGAATATAAAGTTTCTAGTTTTGAAACATGAAGCACTACTGTTTGCAAGAAAGTTTAAATTTATTTTATGTACATCAATACAATTCATTGATAAAGTTCGTTTTGACTGTTTTATGTTATTCTTCTATTTGACAACTGAAAAGTATCTATAAAACGCTACACATGTATTTTGTAAAACACGATCCGAAAGGAGTGTTGAAGCATATAGGGTAGAAATTTGCACCTACCCTATCCCCCACAGACCGTGACAGACACCCTTCATGGGTCATCACAGCGCGTAATAGTCACGTTCAAAAGACTATCAGATGTTATGTATAACTAGTATTTAATTGGAGTATTCATGAAGTATTTCCTTTATGAAGTTCTACGCTGTAAATTTAGCAAAGCTGATGGAATATGCCCAATATACTTAAAAAAGGTTAGTTTTTAGAGAATCAGTGACCATAGGTATATCGTGTTTCACATTTTAATCCCGCAGAGATTACGCCAAACGCTTTGTTGTTAGTTAATATTAGATCAAATTTCTTTCATGCTATGAAAAATAATACTTAACACTAATCTTTGCTTATTTTATACGTATGAAAAAAGCTGCTAGCGCAATTCCTGTGGGATTAAATTGTAAAACACGTTATAGCTGTTGTTACTAATCATCAGAATATTGTTTTATTCGATCTATCTTTGGACTAATTTTTCATCAACTTTTATTTACTCTCTAGAACTCAAAAAGAAAGCAATTTATATACTTTTATGCGAGCTGATTGATATATAATCGGTAATCATGCATCAAAAACGTCTGTAATGGGTCCGGAGGGCGCCTGCCACGTTCTCTGGGAGGAGAACTCCAAAGTTCTACCTTATATACTTCAGCACTCCTTTTAGATTGTTTCACAAAAAACGTTTGAATGAACTTCTACAACTAAAAAGGAAATCAGTCGATTCAACTAGCTGGATGCAGAGGTATTTAATTATTTTTATTGTAGTGCTATTCTGTAATATTTTCGATAATTTAACATGATCGTAGTATTCGAATCTGCGACTATGATTACATCTCGATGTTTATATCATCAAGCTCATACATATATTTAGTAAATGAGAAGAGAGATAATTTGTATGTGTTCATCCGCAGTAAATAGCACGAAAGAGATTTTTTTAGAATAAAATAATACTTAGTGTTTATTGAGATGATTTGAAGATCTAAATAGAAGAAAAAAAAAATTGTTGTCGTAAAGGAATACTTATTGTTCACATTAATGATCGGACAACATAAAAATACGAAAAAAAAATTTTTTTTGTTTTTGTAAAACAATACTTCTATTGCAATAGTCAGATGTTCTAAACGAAAGAACAAAAATTATTATTATAAAATAATACTTACCGCTCATGTCACAGGTTTAATTGCAATACTGTCGGTAATATAATCTGTTGTAGAGTATTTTCTACTTAAATTCGAATTTATTATTAGAAATAATTCACATCTATCGAGAAAGAAAATAGTTTTAGAATACAGTTGACTAATAAAAGTTTTTTCAGTGCCATCGATATTAAAAAATTTATCTCAAATTGGAGTCGATTAGGAGTCTATGGCTATTACAGGCAGCTCAGCTCCATTAACATCCATTAAACTACATCGAAATCGATTGAAATCTGTTAATTTTAACAAAGTTCAAAAGTAAATTTTTTATTTTGATAGAACATATCACCAAAAACAACCGCCGGATATATAGTACATTTGAAGCTCTGAAAAAAAAATAAGGTATCATATAGAACGAAAAATGGTTCTGTACGGTACCTTTTTT